CCTCCTCCCTCCTCCTCCTCCTCGTCCTCCTCCCTCCTCCTCCTCCTCCTCCTCCTCCTCTCCTCCTCCTCCTCCTCCTCCCTCCTCCTCCTCCTCCTCCTCCTCCTCCCAGAGGCACGGCGCCCGCGGAGCTGGCGGCGAGGTGCCGCGGCAGAAGAGGCGCCGCGGCGAGAAGGGCGCCAAACCCAGACCACCTCGAGTAATGAAAAAATCATGACGGGATATTTTTCCTAATGTTCGGCCTCCAGGGGTCCTCACCGGGCCTCGGGAGCGTCAAAAAACGACTCAGGATGCAAAGCCGGTCATGGGGAAAGGGTCCAGACCTCTGGGGGTCGACGTAGTGAAAAAATCATTACGTCGGGGGTCTGGGAAGCGAGAGCGAGAGGCGCCGAGGCGAGCAGTCCACCATGAACCCTTGGGGCCTTGCTCGTCGGGGCCCTCCCGCACTGCGACGGCGTTCGAGTCGGGTCTTCCCTCCTGCTGCTGTGCTGTCCCACGCCCAGCGAGCCACTGGGCACTGCGTCAGGTTGTGGCGGTCGATGGAATACCGGACCGGCCGTTTTGGGTTGCCACCTCCCTGGCTGCCTCACACGGCGGCCTGATGAGATGGCCTGGGAGGGGGCCCGCCTGTCACCTGAAAGGTCCTGGGCGGAACGGCTTCCGAGCGGAAGCCCGAACCCTTTTCACACAGATGTGAAGCAGCGTGGACGTCGAACAATAGGCTACTGCACCGTCGGTATGCACCGTATGCGTTGCAAGCTATGGCGTGCGCTCTGCGTATGTTGCAGCCTATGTTATGCAAGCTATGTGGTGAAAGTTATGTTGTGCAAGCTGTGTCGCGCAAGCTATGTGGTGCCCGCTATGCGGCAAAGCATGCGGTGAAGGCAACGTGGTGCAAGCTATGCAATGCAACCTATAGCATGCAAATAGATGCGGTGCTAACTACGTGGTGCATTGAAGTAAACCCGCGGTGAATTGTCCACTCCAGTGCTCGCGCAATCATCCTACCCACCAGCCCGACACCACGCTTGCAGAACCCATGCGGGGCGATTGCGATGAGTGTTTGCAATTGGCTGGCGCATCTCTGCGGCCGCGCTGGCCTGGTCATGCTCGCGCGCGCAGCGGCCAGATAGTTTGGCGCGGCCGACGCGGCCGCGGTGGCGCTGACCGCTGGGCACTTCCCAACGGGCACTTCAATGCGAATAGACGAGTTGGGCGGGCGCGGTATTATGGCAACGTCGACAACGGTTGACGCGATGATGATGGCAACGATGCTGGTGACGATGATGACAAAGACGACGGCAAGGCCAGTGACGGCGCCGAGGCGGATCATGCCGACGACGATGACGGCGCCCTCGCGTCGGCGATGGAGGTTTTGGAGGGAGTTCGACATGCGCGCGCGGCCGACGCGCGATAGTGGCCCACATGGTTTGATTTGACACGGACCGTGCCCCCCCCCCAGCACGCGCGCAAGGTCGTTCGAATGATTTCGACGTGCGTCGCGCGGGGCCGCTTGGCCGAATCGAATGAAAATCTTGAACACCAACCATTTTCTTAAGAATCCCCAAGAGCACTAGCGCAGACAATTTTGAAAATTGATGTTGCAAAAGCGTGTGTTTATATGTTGCGGGAAACTCGACTAGGAAACCCTTTCCGAAATCTACTGGTCTTGAAAAAATCGGCCTGCGCGCGCGATGACGCGCGCGAGCACTTCGTCCCATCTATTGCAAGGGATTCTTGCGACAGCACGCGCGCAAGGGCGCTCGAGCGATTCCGACACGCGCGCGCCGGGACCGTTGGGTAGCAAGTTATGGGAATGCAGATACTCCGAAGGCTTTGCTGAGAACTCGCAAGAGCCCAAGCGCAAGTTGTTGTTGAAAAATGATGTTGCGAAACCGTGTGTTCTAATATGTTTTCGGTGCTCTCGATTTTGAAATCCTTGAGACACCCGAGGTGTTGGAAGGATTTTGATATGCGCTCGCGACGCAGCGCGCGCGCAGTTCGTCCCATCTGTTGTGAGGAATGCTTGGAAATTGATATGAATAT